GAGATGGCGCCAGGAGGGTGCTGCCGACTGTGAAAAACAAGTGTACCCGATGATGGCCGGATTGGGGCCGGGTGTACCCGATTTTGGCCACTCTCAAATCTAAATTCTCGTTGTGTCCGACGAAAGGTTAAGATGGAAAACACGTCCCAACGCTGCTCGGCCCCCAACTTAGGCCCAACTTGTTTGTTCAGTTTTTCACGTGGCGTCGCGTTCCGAGCGGGAGCGAAGGGCTCTGGTACTGTGTAATTTTTTCTTCCCGTTGCCCGATAAACGTACACCCCCTCCGACAACGATGGATGTCTTTTTTTTTTTTTGGAGTACTAGTCTAGTCTACTGCTGCTGCTGTACACTACAGCATACTTCCGTAATTGAATTATACTCTCGTTCGAAGTTCGGTATTTAGTGTACGGAAAAATTGTGATGACCCTAGCTGTTTAACAATAACATGAACCCGGAGGAGCACGGAGCCGATGTCACTGCTGTATCCACACTTCCTAGGCCTGTCCTCCATCGGCCGTTTTATTTTCGATTTAGATACACAAACTTTATTTCTATACTAATTTCAAGTAATTCCACCTTCTTATTCTCCGTCATACAAGCAAAACGGCCGATGGAGGACAGGCCTAACACTTCCCTAGTCTATCATTACCAAATGTACGTTGCGTCGGAGCGTGTGAAGTCTGTTCTCACTATTTTGGAAAAAATAAATTCTACTCCTGTAAAATAAGTACGAAGTTGCTTTTTGGTCCGATCCCGGCGGGCGCGCGGTTGTTGTTGAAAAACAACAAAATCCTTCTGCGGAGGGATGAAGGTACAATGACTACAACGCACTCAGCCACCACAAGCAGCAGCAGGGAGCAAGGCACTCGGGAGAAAACGGAGGGAAAAAAAACCGCGCGCTGCCTCAACACGGCACATCGCAGCTCGAGCCGACGCACCGCGCCCACAATCGTTCGGCGCGAAAACTGACTAGATTCCAATGATGGGAGAAAAACAAACAAAAAAAACAAAAACACCGACCTTGCGGTCGTCTCCGTGCATGCCCCGACAATCGGCCCAACCAGCCACACAGCCGGCCTTCCAGGGGAGGAGCGCCCGTACAAGTTCCAGTTGCTGATGTCAACGGGTCCGTCCCCGCCAGGTGCTGGAGGGCCAGCACTACTCCCGCTGGACGTTCCGGTGACAGCGCTCATTTTCTCCGCGTGTGGTGTTTTCGGGGTCTGTTCCCCGCGCCGTTGCAGCCGCTCGGCGGTGGATGTCTGGACCTGCTCCGGTCGGAGGTTTGATCTGTGGCCTGCTTCAATGGAGGAGAGTTCACCGGAGTGTTGGCGTACACCGTAGATCTGCCTCACAGCTGGCTGAGCAAGGCGCTAATGTTCGCAAAAATCCGGACCCGTCCGCCTGTCTGTGCGCTGCGCTGGTGCAACAGGAGCTTTCAGAGGAGGGCTCGTGGAACCAACTTCTGGAAGCACGGCTACCCCCCCCCCCCCCCCCCCCCCCCCCCCCCCCCCCCCCCCCCCCCCCCCCCC